AAATATACTTATAGTCAAAATTGTAGAGAATTTAATTCTATTGTATTTTTTCAATTCAATCAAAAATATTGTTTAGAAAATATTTTTCAAATATATGTATTTCAATTCAATTTCGAAATTTTCAAGTATGTTTCAAGTTTCAATTCAGTTTCAAAAATATATTTTAGAAACTGTATTTACGAATACCAGATAATTAAACTCTCTCAACTTTTACATTTTCATGGACGTCCGATGCATAGGAAACAAGATATTCGCGAAAAACTATTTTCGTTGGAACTTTGACTCTTGAGTACCTCGAAAAGAGCGAGGTTTTGGGGAAAAAAATATAAGATACCAATTTTGTAGATAATTGAATTCTCTACAACTTTCATGTTAACTTATCGCTGTACAATACCATAGGCGCGAGATATTCACGAAAAAACTTGTTTTTGAAACTTTGATCTTGAATATCTCGAAAAGGGAGAGGTTTCGGGGAAAATGCAATAGACTAATTATGTAATTGTAGATAATTAAATTCTCTACAACTTTCACTTTACAAAAAAAATTGACCTTCAATGTCTTGGGTAGCCATCTTGTGATTTTTGCGGATTTGGGTTTGGAACATCTCGAAGAACGTTTGTGCACAAATTCAACTTAGTGGTAATTTTGTCGAGGACAAATGATAATTTCCCTGGGCTATTTATTACAGATTAATTTCCATGTTCACAATCACAACTAGAGCCTCAGAAAATCATATTTCAATTCGAAACTGTCTTTTTCTTTGCAAGGGTAATTTTACTGGAAAATATCATTTATTTATTTAAAATAAAAACGTGCACAGAATATTTGTAATTAACACAGTAATTTATTTTTGACTCATCTTGGGAAAAATGTAATCTAAAAACTTGTTGCTATTTTTTAGGTCACTGTTGATGTTATTCAATACTAGTGAAAGTGTCCATCCATCGATGGCGACGGTCTGTAAAACCACAGGCGGAGCGATTTTAAAACGATGGGGTATCGTCACATTTTTTATTATTTTATAAATGACAAATGCGAATTTGTATTTAGTTTTTTCATTTGACCGTCACCAAATCTTTTAATAATACAGAATTATTGTCATACCACCGTTTATGTGTGAATATAAGAATTAATTAAAATTTTATCCTCACATGTAAGCACATGCCTACATTTGTATATACATGTATACAAACGTGTATTCATATACACACGTAAATATCTAAGTACTAATGTATGCAATAAGCATGCAAAATATATCCAACTTCATAGAGAAAATTCTTAACTGATGACATTGCGGGAAACAACTCTATGGAATACATGGTCCAACTAGCATTGAATTATATCAACAGTATCTAGTAAACAGCTGGTAAATTAATAATTATCTAGAAAAAATTAAAATTTGTGTCTAAATATTAATACAAAACACATACCTGACATATTGTAATTGTTAAGTTACGTAATCTTTCAAAGAAATATTATTGTTGTTTAAAAATCACTCTAATTAAAGACCAAAACATAAAATCAACATTTCTATATTTTACTTGGGATTGCATTTTCAAGTGGCCCCCGAACATGTAGGCCATATAGACTAAGTTGTTTCCTACAATGTAGGAATAACTGAACTTTATTTTTTAAAACTTTATTGTTAGTTTTATACATTATTGGTCTTGTCTTCTTCAAAGTACTACTCTCCCCTATTTGCACACCTTTCCCAGCGGTATTTCCATTTCGCGAAGGTGGATAGCTTCAATTTTGGCCTTTAGAGTATGCGACGAATTTGCTTGGATGTCATCAATAGTCTGTAAATAGCGTTCTTTCAGCATTGATTTTAATTTCGAAAATAAGAAAAAATCGCAAGGAGCAAGGTTTGGCGAGTAAGGAGGATGAGAGAAGACAGTAATCTGATTTTTAGTCCAAAACTGATGAATCGACAAAGCTGAGTGTGCAGGCGCATTATCATGGTGCAAGAACCATGAGTTGTCTCGCCACAACTCTGTTTTTTTTGCGAATTTTTTCAAACAACCCTCAAAATGCACAATTCAATTAGTAGAAAAGAACAGTGAGCTTTACTTTAACATTGGATCGAGACTGATGTGCTTTCTTGGGTCGTGAACATCCTTTGCTAATCCGTTATGGTTGAACTTTTGTCTCAATACTGTAGCCGTAAACCCAGCTTTCGTCTCCCGTTATGATCCTTTGAATTAATGTTTCATCCTCATTGGATTGTTCAAGAAGTTGCCGACAAACGTCGACACGATTTTCTTTCTGCTATTCGGTCATCAAATGGGGAACAAATTTTGTTGCAACTCGATGCATGTTCAATTTTTCAGTCAAAATTTCATGGCATGACCCAATTGAGATGTTGATCTGTTCTGCAATTTACCTGACAGTCAATCAACGATTTGCACGCACCAAATCTTTAACTTTCTGAATGTGGGGATCATCAGTTCATGTCTAAGGCCTTTTTGGTCGAGAATCATCTTCAATGACTGACGACCACTTTTAAATCGTGAAAACCAATGTCAACATTGCGTGCAACCCAGAGCATTACCCCCGTAAACTTGTTTCAAAAGTTGAAACGTTTCCGTGAAAGTTTTCCCCAATTTCACGCATTTTACTTTGTATCATTATTGCAGCAAATAGCATATTTCACTAACACTTAAACACATTGCACTCAAATAATAATATTATGAAAATTAAATGAGATATCAACAATTCAAGAACTTGTGGTTGCAGAGGCGGCCAACCGCATAAGACTAAACATCTCCATTAGAGCGTAATTAATAGCTAACAGATCTCATACATAAATTTTTGGTATCAAAGAACATGATTGACTTCACTTAACAGGATTTTTAGAAAAATGAATGTATATACTTATTTGAATTAGCTAATAGTAAAATATAGGTACATTTAAAAACAAATCGACAGAATTTTTGAATTGCCTATTGAGTTCTGTATAAAAACCACTTCTTGCTAGATCCTAGACTTTAAATAAAAAAAATGAATGTATTTCAAAAATTTGAAAAAAATTGCCATCTGTTTTAAAAAACTAAACCCAAATTGATGGAAATATTTCTTCCTAAAACTATTCCGTCGACTGGATGATGAATTTTTGAACATTCATCACTAAACACCATTATTGTATGTTATATAAAGAACTGTGAATATGGAATGAAGTGGTATAATTTTATAATCGAGACAAAAGAGGAACACCTTGTTACTTTTCACCCAAGATGAACTTTTTCCATATTTTTTACATAACTATGAACCAAACATTTTGTTGCTTTGTTATAAGAAAAGTGATAACTATTGACTAAACCTAAGTAAAGTGATGCATTTTCAAGGACATTATAGAAATAGCGTAGTTTAATTGCAGGGCACAAATAACTACTTATTTATAATCCTCACCTATCCAATTTATCTATGACTACCCTTGCATAGTAACAATAAGCAATATGTTTGTCTAAAAATAAAACTAAATGAGTGGCAGACAATATTCAGATAAGATAACTAGAACGCATTGGAAAATTCGAAAAAAAAATTGTTTTAAGTTTCCACTGTGTTGCGATTTTGATTAGTTATCCAAGTCAACGTTTTAGTGGGATAAAGATCAATAAATAAAAGAACACTATATTTTAAATCATTGCCAACGTTTCGGTGTTATTTTACACCATCCTCAGGGCTCTAAAATACAAACAATGTTTTTAATAAAATTCGTTAAGGTATTAAAATAAAAAAAAACAAATACACTTATAATAATTCTAAAAAATTGTTCCTGTCACAATTACCATAAAACCCGAAAAAGAAAAATTCTAAAACAGCTCTAAAAATAACATAGGTATTACTCACTCACCGAAATTTGAAGTGTCTTTTGTCCAAGTTCTAAATATTAAGAAGATGGTATCTAGATACTTATATGTGTATTTATAATTCATGGAACAATTTCAATGCGGTTTTCTTTCACAGTAAAAATTGTTGTAACGTCTTAGGTACTATTCAGCAGGATGACAGTAAAAAAAATACGTTGATTCTAATGTTTGTAGAAATCATGCTTCTTTTTCCTCTTACTTTTTCCCTTTCTTTTCCCCTTTTATTTTTACAAGAGAATTTTATCAATTAAATTATAATAAACCAAGTTTAAATTATATATGTATATCGTTTTTCGTATTAACACTATTAATTTTTTTAGTGTTAATACGAAGAAGGATATAGATAATTTAAACTTGGTTTATTATAATTTAATTAATAAAATTCTCTTGTAAAAATAAAAGGGAAAAGAAAGGGAAAAAGTAAGAGGAAAAAGAAGCATGATATCTACACACATTAGAATCAACGTATTTTTCTACTGTCATTCTGCTGAATAGTATACCTAAGACGTTACAACAATTTTTACTGTGAAAGAAAACCGCATTGAAATTGTTCCATAAATTATAAATACACATATAAGTATCTAGATACCATCTTCTTAATATTTAGAACTGTTAAGTTGGACAAAAGACACTTCAAATTTCGTTGAGTGAGTAATACCTATGTTATTTTTAGAGCTCGTTTAGTATTTTTCTTTTCGTGTTTTATGGTAATTGTGACAGGAACAATTTTTTAGAATTATTGTAAATGTATATATTTGTTTTTTTTTATTTTAATACCTTAACGAATTTGATTAAAAACATTGTTTGTATTTTAGAGCCCTGAGGATGGTGTAAAATAACACCGAAACGTTGGTTCTTTTATTTACTGATCTTTATCCCACTAAAACCTTGACTTGGAAAATTTGTTTTACCCAGTTTTGTAGACTATTCTTAGAAATATTAGTCGTCTACGGCAATGGTTTTATATATTCACATAGGGCACACCGCATCTTGTCATGTAGAAAGTTCCGATAGGAACGGTTCATCAGTCTTGACTTGATTGTAAATTTTTATTGGCTTACAATGACTACCCTTTCTTTACGATTATAAGCATTGTGGGGAGTTATATGAGAGAGTAGTATTTACCCACCTCTTGTTTAAATTGTGTAATTTTTACTTCTGCAATGTTTACATTAATGGTGCACTCATTGCCGGTTTCGCTGCTCTTGAGGCCAGATCTCTCTTTCTGTTATTAAAAAAATGTTTCCCAGTGTTGTTTGTGCTGTCGGTTCCTATTTGATTTTTTTGACTATTATACAGGCCAAGGTAAATAATTAATATTTTTTTTTGCGTATAACGCGCAGTAATAAAAAAATTTTAGGAAATCTCTTCGGGAAGATGTGACATTCCACCATCTGCGCCCAAGAAAGTTGAGGAAATTATCAACCAGTGCCAAGATGAAATAAAACTGGCCATATTGTCAGGTATTTATAGATCACAGTTGTTTTTTATAATATTAAAGAAAGAACAATAGAAACTGAAATAAAAATAGAGAGACTAATAGAAATTGACCTAAAAAAAATAAAAGGAAAGTATTTGGTTGTTTGGAAGTGAGTTTACTATATTCAGAAATTGAATAACCAAACAATAATAAATCAATTTTCCTAACATGTAAACAAATACTGTTAATTGATTTTAATCAATAAACAGTCAATTCACGGCATGAACGAACACATACATTATACATATTTTATATTATTGTACTTAGTACTTAGCAATTATTGTTAAGTAAAAAAAATGGATAAAAAAAATTTTCACTTATAATATCATTAGTGCTTAAATTATTCCCGGAAATTTTTTCGAGGTCACGAAAATTTTGTAAATTATTCCAGCTCGAAGTCGAGAAATTATTTTCTTAAAATATTCCTTCATACAAATAAAAATATTTTTATGCATCGATAGACAAAATGATTTTATTATATAGGTCATACAAATGTACTAATAAAAACAATCAGTAAGCGAATTTAATTATGTACCTACCGAAAATCATCACACATGTAACTTTTTTATTACTGATTTTAGAAAGAAGTTTTCTATAAAAGAACTTGTGGAACTCCAAAAATTCTTTCTTTTAGTCTTGAATTAATTTATCAATTTCTTTTTATTGCAATTTAATTTAAATTTGGTACCTATATATTCAAAATAAGAGTTCAGTTGCAAATTGAAATCGAATCGATAGTTTCAGTGGCGCAACCCGGAGTGAGAGAGGTAAAATAAGGGGGCATTTGAACCGTCCTAAAAATAAGAAATAATTCAATACGAAAAATATTTTTCGGCTACTACAGAGTTCTCTTTTATTTTTTGGAAAATATTTCTGTTAATACATTTCAGCCCCTCCTTGCATAGAGTTTGGTATGAATTCTAAAATTTATAGCCAAAAGTTATTTTCCCGGCAAGTAGGTACTGACAAAACAACTTCATTTGTTTGAAGGAAGTATAACCTTGGTCTTGTTTAGAATTTTCAAAGTTAAGAATATTAATATCACGTCACTTTCTCTAGTTTCGTTTGCCATTGTGCTAATTATCACGTGTCTTGTGGAGCTAAAAAATGTATGTAAAGTAACAGGAACACCACGCGTCACGTGTTTTACAATATCTTTACACTATTATACTAACATAGTGTTAAATAGGTAGAACTGATAGTAGAATTATGTTATACATAGTGATAAAAGCATAATATTGAATTTTGGAAAAAGAAGACAGACACAATTATGTAGCATGATACAAATAGTAACATCGGCCATGATATGACGTCATGTGGAGAGTGCCTTATATGTGTTTGTGATTGAACTATATCACATTTTTATTCCTATGGTGATTATATATATTACAGATTGTATATTAATAATGAACTTTTGAAATTAATTCTTCCGGTTTTAGTTGTAGAACATTCAATTAACTGAATAAGGACATTATGTTTTCCATTTTCCAAATGCTGAAAACATAAAAATCTAGATAAAGCTTACCGTGTCAATATATGCATATTTAGAACAAAAATAATTAGATTTGTTCAAGACATTTTAAAACATTGGACTCTATTCGAAATTATGATTAATAAAATATTAATTCCTAGTAAATTTTTGCTAAAAAATATTTATGAATCCAAGAGAGATTTGGAAAAAAACTGCATAAGAATTACCGAATAGTATTGACTATTGATAGCACTGAAGAGTAGGTAATTATTTTTATAGTAAAACAATTTTTTATTTATTTGATACGTAACCATAAAATATTAGCATAAACTTTATTAATGAACCATCATTCTCGTGACGTCTTGCGTCCACCGAATCTCTTTTAATTCACGGAAATGTCGTTCTATACAAATAATTAGGTCAGGAAAATAAGCTAGGAAATTACCATTTCGCGACTTTTTGTTTCAGCAAGCTGAATTTATCACTATAGATGCTAAATATTATGTACAATAACATATTAGTTTCCACAGTCATAAAAATGGGAGAAAGATTGTTTACAGTGTGGTTAATTGTATAATTTTTACGTAAATCCACGTTTTTCGCTTAGAACTTTTTTTCGTTAATTTCCACGAGAAAACAGTAAAGTACTTTTCTTCAGGTCTTCAAAAGACCTACAAAACTAGCCCTCGAGCGTCAAAAAATATTAATTAGATCAAAAGTTATAAACAGAAGAAGTTTATTTATGACTTTTGAATTAAACATTTATAAACCGCGTTATTATTATTAGAACGTTTTGGCATCGCTTCCTCTCATTCCTTATCACTGTCTAATAACTCACAGGAAATCTGGACGATCCCGAGGATCTTCTACAATCGCATTGATTTTTTTCAAGGTAGATTTCATAATAATACATTGAAATCTATCATTTTTTTTATTTCAAATTTGCAACCTGATCTTTTTTTTAATTTTTTAGCCTTAGTTGCAAAATGAAATATACGACGCACGAGCCTGATATAGTTATATATTATTACATATTCGGAAGGTTTATGAAAAGAGCTTTAAGTTAAAAAAAAATCGTCAAGATTCATTGACGGCCTATTGTTAAACAAATTAGGTTGGCAGCGGCAAAAAAAATACTGTCATAACCGGCAACTCGAGTACTTTCCCAGATAAAAATATTTTATTTGTGGAAGTATGTTAAGTGCATAAGAAATATTGTCAAAAGTCAGTGGGTCGCTTGATTTTACGGCGAACCGTGGAGCGGCGGAAGGGTGGGGAAGCGAACGACAGGGAGTCCGAAGAAAATTACCATAATATTCATAGTCCTGCCGTTAAATAAGCGAAATTCGCTTGAAAATAATATATTTGACAGTCTGTAACTCCGTTGTTTTTCAACGAATCTTGACGATTTTTTTTTAACTTGAAGCTCTTTTCATAAGCTTTGCGAATATGTAATAATATATAACTATATCACGCTCGTGCGTCGTAATTTCATTTTGCAACTAAGGCTAAAAAATAAACAAATTTCCAGGTCGCAAATTTAAAATTAAAAAGATTTCGTGTGATAAGGACAGTGATAAGGAATGAGAGGATTCGATGCCAAAACGTTCTGGTAATAATAACGCAGTTTATAAATGTTTAATTCAAAAGTCATAAATAAACTTCTTCTGTTTATAACTGATCTAATCAATATTTTTTGACGCTCGAGAGCTAGTTTTGTAGGTCTTTTGAAGATAAAACAAAGTACTTTACTGTTTTCTCGTGGAAATGAACGGAAAAAAGTTGTAAGCGAAAAACGTAAATTTACGTAAAAATTATACAATTAACCACCCTGTAAATAATCTTTCCCCCATTTTTATGACTGTGGAAAGTAATATGTTATTGTACGTAATATTTAGCATCTATAGTGATAAATGCAGCTTGCCGAAACAAAAAGTCGCGTCTATATTTCCTGGCCTATAATTAAAAACTAAAATTAACATTATTGGGATTGGGTAAATGGTAATAGTGACTTTAAATTGTGTGACACTTAGTTATCTTTTTTTCCCCTTTTCCAGTTGTAATCCATCTACAGTCCCTTAAAATTTTTCATAAATTTAATTACGACAAACTAAGACGACCTACCTTGAATCAAGAAAAGTTTATTGCAAACACCACACAATGTACGATGCTCGATTGAAATGTAGTTTTAACTTTGAACAACATATACAGTCCGTACAATATTTGTTGAGATAGAATTCCAAGAAAAGAATAAGCCAATGAAGTTCTGTTATCGGAACTACTGTAACAATTTACCGCGGCATGGGCGTGCCTTGAAATGTTCCCCGTTATTATCAGAATATTAGAATACATATATGTGAAGTAAATATATATATAAAGTAGATTTTTCGACTGGGAATGAAATTCCTTTCCTTTATTAATTTATTTTAATAAGAAATTACACTGAAATTGCATAGGACGATACACTTATGAAGAAACACGCCGTCGCCGTCACTGCTACGGAGAAAGCCACGCCGCCAATGTCTTTCTATCTCGAGTGTCGAATGCGGTTAATTCCAAGAACGTGCCGCAGGGGTCTCAACAAATATCATATGGACTGTAATATATTTCGAAAAGAGCTGTGTATAAAGAAGGTTTTTACTCGAAACATTTAAAGGAACACACAACAAGTGGCAATTCGTGATTGTCTGTAGCTGTACTGAACTGAAATATTTTTCTATGAAACATTTTATTTTTCAGAGGCTTTACAAGCATTTAACGTCAACGAACACAGTCGCAGTCGTGCCAAAAGAGCAACTTTCAGTGAAGATGAGAAACGTATTGCAGGGGTAAGTAGTAACTGTAAAGTAGAAATAAAAAATTATCATTCATACATTTTGAGACAAATAAATTGTCTATAATCCATTTTATTGTAATTTAGAACAGCTCTTGCATACTTTACTCAGTAAATAAATAATAAAAAATACATTAATAACGAAACTTTTAAATATATTTTTTTTATTTACAAATAAGTCCCAGATTAACGTAGGCCTTGGCACACTATTATGTAAGAAATGCACCTTCTTATTGTTGGCATAAATTGAAAGTGTGTTAACAAATGTCTAAGCACTTTACTCTTCGAAATATATATTCAAATTAACGTTTTTTAAGCCTATTAGTCAAGCTACACTAATGGAAATAATTTAATAATATGTGTTTACATTAAGGACAACGTTAAAAAATGTGCATTTACTTACTATGAAGTTTGTTGAAGATGTAAATATATATCAGAGATTAGAAACTATTGTTTACGGTTTAACATATTTAGAAAATATAATTTTTTAACAGATCTAAAATTTCCGGCTTATATTTTTGTTTCATAAATACTTATCAGCATACCCTAACCATTAACTTTCCCCGCCAGGTTTTTTTCCAATCATTATCTTATTTACATAAAAAATATTGCTTTAATTAATAGTTATGTAATTTATGAATACAGGTAGAAATTTCCTTTTAAAAGTTTACCATAGCACACAGATTTCCTGTAGCTATTTTTTATAAGTTGGTCACATGTTTGTAAATTTCCGAAAGGATATCACAACGCTAATACCTAATTAGCTGGAGCATAAAAACTTTCCTATTCTATTCTTTAAATGTACCTAATTTAAAAATGGCATTAGCAAAACGACACTTAGGTACTGTTGTTGCTATATTGGTACATTTAATCATATAATATAGATGGGCTTTGCTCTACAAATTAGGTGATGTAACAGGGAACAGAATCAGAAATTATTTTCGCAAGCCAATTATTGTCATGGATGCCAACAGATCCACATTGTTTTGAGTTCTAATATGCATAAAGAACAATGATTATATCATTAACATCGCAAAATATGGGAAGTGACGAAATTGGAATTAATGATGTCGGCAACGCAACAGTACGAAAAATAAAAATTATGTCACCGTGGTGTTTTTTTTTCTATATAAATTGTCAATATTTAATTAGGTACAAAGAAGGAGAGTTTTACGTTTTCGATGTTTGTTCTTTTTAAATAAAAATGGTTCAGGACATCTTTAGAAACAAATTTAAAAAGTAATGAGATTTTTTTAAGTAAATCATACTCAATTGACCAAAATAAAGAAAATTGGAATATTCAGAATTCCCAGACATTTTACTGAAAAATTTTTTTAACTTGTTTTATATCATTTTCAAGAAAAACTTATTTTCTTTCAGACCTGCTAGATATATCATATGACGATAAAATTATGTAAAGGGTGTTTTTAAAAAGCTTGTAAAACAAGACCTATCCTTTTTTAAACGTTATTTCACCGTAAAACTGAAAGAGCATTCTATTCAAATGTGAATATAATAAATCTTGCTTACATTACTGTTTATTAATTAACAATTACTTAAAATTTCAAGACATTATTTTTTATTAGTCAACAATTCAATAAAAGGATAAGTACTTTTCGAGAAGAAATGTCCAAATTATTAAACGAAAAATGTAACACCAATAAGATGGGGCAAAATTTTATTTGTTCCCTTTTTTGCCCACCTCCAAATGATTCTAATTCACAGTTAACATCTTGTCTTATCAAGGATAAAAAGTAACACATCTCAATAAAATTCCATCTGTTTATTTTTTCAATAAATTCAAAAATCATTTTCAGGAAATTCATCTTGAACAGGTTGCCACTTGTACCTACAATAACTTTTATAACTTCTTAATAGCTACTATACTTAAATCTCCTACAACTACTCAACTATTTACCTACATAGTATAGAATATGCCCTAGATTTTAATAGCTGTAAGTAAATAGTAATATCAATTAATTATTTTCAATGGACTTTGATCTTTGATCTTTAATAGGAATATTTGTTTAAGGTATCATCGTGGTTCTTGAACTCGTATGACCTAGTCAGATATTTATGTGTAGATACAGTGAAAAAAATTGTGTTTCTGATTTAAAAATATCACAACCAGTTTAGAAAGCAGTATGCTTTCGGAGCACTTAATCTTGTATTAAAATATGAATATCATCAAAAAATGTAGGACATCATTAAACGATCCTGAAGTTAAGAAGATACGGACCCCATATTATATTAGATTCTTTTATAGGTAATAAAAACAAATTTTTACCTTATATTGAAATAAAAAATAGTGTATTAATAGAAGCAATCATAGAATATAGGAAATACCTTGTTATTTACTAAATTTTTTTGTCTGTTGCGTATTCTTTTCTCTTTCTTTGTAAATATTGAATATTCTTTAAATAACTTGATTGATTGATTTAATAATACATACAGTTCCATTTTCTAATATAGAAATGAGGAAGAACTAGAATATTCTTGGCACAAATCTCATCGCAGAGAAAAATTTAAGATACAATTATTGAATTCACAAATATTGCTTTCTTTTGTAATACCAGCTGAAAAATATGTAGTTTCGGTTCCCTAGGAACTGTAAGTATACCCTATGGAGAAAGTCATTGTAATTTTAGATAGTGAAAGCCACATTTTTAATAATAATTAATTAAATTAATTAAATCTACTAGATATGGATTTAAATAAATAAGATAAATTAAGAATTTGATATACTCTTAATGGGACAATATTGAAAAATTCGCATACAAATTAGATTAGGGTACAAAATTATGGAATGTTATGTCGCATTGACCTTGTCATTATTTCAATTGACATATCTATTAATATATTCATAATCGATTGTTTCTATGAAAACGAAAGCAGAAACCTACTTGCTGCGATTAAGTATTTTATAATTATGTATTATTAGTCAACTCATTCTACATACAAGGTGAAGGTATTAAATTTATGTAACAACACCATCAGTACCAGTTAACTGAGGAAATGGATATTCTTTTCTTACTAATTTACTAGTTTTACGCAAAATCGCACATTTCAAAAATAGTCGCAAATAAAAACGTTGCACTCAAATAACAATATCATGAAAACAAAATGAGATATCAACAATGCAAGAACATGTGGTTATTGAGAAGGTTATGCGCAACGCAGTGCTATCAATCGCATATCACTAAATATCTACGTAATTCAAAAAGTTATTTTCTGAACAGACCTCATATATAGATTGATTTAATTAAAACAATAACAGAAACGGAACAAAAATACACGTTTTTCTTATGTCTAAAAAGTTATGGTGGGTGTTGTATGTCCTCCTCGAGCCTGAATTGTAGCATTCAACCATCACGTTGTGACATTGAGTCAACCGAATTTTTTAAGTGTATATTTGGGAAATTGCTTCATATTCTTCTTGAAGGCCAGTCTTAGCTCTTGAAGAGTCTGTGACATGACTGGTCGACGACGAATAACCCTCTGAAGTTAATTCCAAAGATGTTCAATTGGGTTAAGGTCCGGGCTGCATAAACCGCCAATCGAAAAATCTTAATTAAAGAACGTCAGCAAACGTCAAACTATTGCTACAATACCTTGGCAACTCAAAAACAGAAATATTCACGGCACACTTTGTAACAACTAAGTAAATTAAGCAAATCTCGAACTTATTCATGAAAATGTTTTATTTCTGTTTAAACAAAGCTAGATAGGAAAAAAAATTAAATAAAAAAGTTGTATTTTTGATAGCTAAATCTGAGAAAAATTTCAAACTCTACCAAAAAGCAGTGGTATACCATATTTGTTTTTATTTTTATCAAGCTGGTATCTTGTTGTGACGCCACTGGAGAAAATAGGACAAATTAAATTATGTGAGAAAATGAGTATTATTATTACAAACAAAGCTGCCAAGTTTTAACAAAGTCTAAAAAGGGGTTTTCGTTTTACGAATCACTTACTTCTACGAATCAATTCTCATTTTAAACTTGAACACTTTGTAAATCGAAAAAGATGCATCTATACATATATGTTTACATGAACTTTTTTTTTGCTACAAAAAACGCGGACACCCTGTATAAAAAATATTCTTAAATTTGAATGAGGAAAACGCTTCTTCATTTTCGACATGTAATGCTACACCGTGTATGTAACAAATTAACTAACAGAAATATCCAATGTCAATACACATTACATATTTTCATATTCAATTTTCTTAAAATTGGGTCCCGATTTTCTATGCAAAATAACAATGAATACGATTTGGGGCAGGATCGATATTTTTCAAAGATAATTAAAATTGAAATAATTTCACATTCAATGATGTTTTGCATTATTGTATTACTGACTATTTATAATTTGCTGAGATTCGTTTAATTTTCTCAATTTAAAAATAACAAAACAATGATATACATATCCTGGTCTAATAAATTGAAGTTATTATAAAAGTATTTATTCTTAGGAAATTCAAACAAGTTATTCCATGTAATACTAATTACCATCTTTTGTATTTCAGTGTTTACTACAATGCGTCTACAGGAAGATGGATGCCGTAAGTACAGTTTATAATAACATTAATTTCCTATTAGTCATTCGAAACATTTCGTTGTACCTGATAATCAGTGGTAACAGTATGACATCAATTTCATAACGTTTACGGTGGTTGATTCGGTTTCGAATACGGAACGCGAAAAAAGATGGTAGTGCTAAGTACAGTTTAATTTGAATATGATAAAATTGCTGCATTGAATGAAATGCCGATTTCATACTGAACTTTTTAGTACCTTGCTTAGTCAGATTTGGTAGAAATACCCTGACAATTTGCTTTTTCGTCGAGAATGAAAATCTGTTAAAACTGAATTAATACAGTTGTATTTTATACTAGATAGAAAATTGAAAGATAGTTGCACAATAGTTTAATAGCTAATTTTCTTGATAGATATTTATATATCTGATGACAGTGATGCGTTACAATATGTATTTTTTTCACCTGCACTTGGTGTAGAAAAATATAGTGAGTGAAGTCCATAAACGTGTATAGGGACAGCCAATCTATTTCGATGATCTTTAATGGAATTATTTTTACAATATAAATCTGTTTCATACATTCTACATAAAAAACCTATCCTGACTTAACTTATTAGTTTAAATTTTCTTATTAAGCATCATGAAAAGTACGTATACGGAGAGCCTCAAACCCAAAGTGGCTGGCCCCATCATGAAACCCTAGTCAATTAGATCTTCATGTAGGTAGAGGATATAAAATTGTTGTTATAAATTGTTGTTTCTTTCACTTTACATTCTAAGATGATATTGTACTTATAGATATTCAACATGTACTCTGTATATATTTTAGGCACTTTTATATTTTTTCTTAGAGTTCCTCAATAAATATCAGTTCATTAAACTTTCTTTATAAACATTTTTTTGTTTCAGAAATATATGAAAAATAGTATTTTCCTACCCTTTTAAATGTATTTACAAAAATCAGTTTTTTGCTAAGCTTTGAGGAGAAGAAAATTCGTGACATCACAAAATTTTATATCCGGCAATTAATCCTTTTCGAAAATATTGTTTCTTTGACTCCCTCCAAAAGTCTTCCAAAAGTTTCTGTTACGTTATTTTATGCCTAATCAAGGCGAGTTAGTATGTTGTATAAATATTTATATTTCGCAGCTTCAGATAGATTATTTAACATTTTTATGCCCGTACACAGACACATACACAGATACTTTTTAATTACAGAATAAATATTATTTATCATGAATAACAAAATATTTGATATTATAAAAATCTACTGAGCTCTAAATTTTAAAATATCAATAAAACCACTAGATTTTTAACAACAACAGAAAAAAAAAATAGGTGCAGCAAGTTGACACAATCTTGTGTGTACTGTTATTTTTTTATAATTATAATTGATTTAGATCTATTCAGCTGACATTTACATGTCTTTATTGTAATAAAACTGTAGTAGGTGTGCCCACGGATGGAACTGAAAAGAGACAAACCTATTTATTTATTTTTTACGAAAAAAGTCATTCTTGTAAAAAAAATCTGTTTTTTTCTTCAGACGTACAAAAATGTAGTTTTAAAGGGACCAAGATATAGACAAGGTGTCCTTTGTAAAGAAGTGATTTGAAAAATAGTAGTCTATTTTATCCTTAGCTCAAGCTACGTTAGTTAAAATTGTTACCCACTTCCATGATAGTTAAATATTTTCACCCTTAGGTCATACAAATTATTAGATTTTTCTTATTTCGCTTTATCTTGCAGAATCCTCCTTAGAAAGAACCTCATTGACGTCGTGGATCAAAAAATATCCCTTCATAAGAAAAATGTATTTAAAGACTTTGATGTTCGTCAAGGCCTTAAAAAATGCAGCAAAGATTTTTATACAGTACCTACGCGCCTAAAGTATGGAATAAATTCAGTAAAAACGAAACAAATTTTTTTGGGAAAAATCCTCTAACAGTTCGATTTTTAATTTAAAAAATATATATTTTAGCATAAAAGGCGATTTTCAACCGTCATTTGTTTTCGAGTAATGAAGTCATCGACATTTTTTTTAAATAGCATTTTTTTCCCCTATTTTTTTCTTGATTCTAAAAGATCGTTTCATTGTCGATCCGACAGTATTAAAATGTTGCTATAGGAAAGTTTTCGAGTAATTGACGATTGAATGTTAGAAAATCCAAATCAATTAAAATAAAGCAAAAACGTTATCAAATTTAGTTTTTCGAAATGCCTGAAGTTTTGTATGGATCACGTAGGTGTAAACCTTTACAAAGTATCACTGTCAACCGACTTGTAAGCGATATAAAAATTATTGTTGAATTTAAAGTATTACGGCACATTTAACTGTCACACAAAGAATTGAAATTTTAATTCTTATCGGATGCGGGGATAAGATTAGAACGCAGCAGGAAGTTTACGATTTATTTAATGAAAAACATCCAGATCGCCGTATCATCCAATCAACAGTCAGTAAGATAGAATCTAAATTTAGAGAAACTGGCAATGTTGTAGATATTCCAAAACCTGGGCGTCCAAGCGTTAGTGAAGATCACAAACAAAACACTTTGATATCCTCATAAATACTTCACAATTGGTTGCATTAAACAATGAAATTAGTCAGACCACAGTGCTACGTATCCTGAGGCAGGAAAAATATCATCCCTACAAAATTTAACTTGTGCAGGAACTCGATGAAGACGATCCCTACCGCCGCTTACACTTTTGTAAAATTATGATGGATTTATGTCAAGTAAATAGAGAATTACACCGGTAAATACTTTTTTCAGACGAGGCCACGTTTTGTCTCAATGGTACAGTGAGTGAACCGTCAAACTTGCAGGTATTGGAGTCGGGAAAATCCTCATTGGATGGCAGAGACACGTACCCAACACGCATAGAAATTAAATGTGTGGGCTGGAATAGTAGGCAACAGAATAGTAGGGCCTTTCTTTGAAGGAACCCTTACAGGAGAAAGATATTTAGAGTTTTTACAAAATGACCTTGTTCCAGCGCTTACAGTAATTTTTCCTAACGATAATGACCCTGATGTTCCTGATGACACCACATGATTTCATCAAGACGGTGCACCTCCGCACTATGCGCGCCCTGTTCGAGATTTTCTGGACAATTGTTTTCCTAGGAGGTGGATCGGCAGACGAGGACCGATAGAGTGGCCCGCGAGATTCCCAGATCTTACACCCCTGGATTATTTCTTATGGGGCTACTTAAAGTCCAAAGTGAACGTTAATAGACCTCATAAATTAGAAGAACTCCAAAATTGTATTATAGATGAAATACACAGAGTTACCCTAGAAATAATTCATAATGTGCAATAAGAATTTCTACACAGACTTGCGTATTGTCAAGAAGTCGGTGGGTGGCAATCCGAACACTTAATTTAGGTAGAAAACTTAATGAATTGTATTTTCTTGATATAGGAATTGTTATTTTTTTATGAAATAAAATTTACATTTCTAACATTCAATTGTCATTTACTCGAAAACTTTCTTATGTAAGATGGCAACATTTTAATACTGTCGGATCGACAATGAACCCTCTTTAAGAATCAAGAAAAAAAATAGGGGGTTGCTATTAAAAAAAATGTCGATGACGTCATTACTCTAAAACAAATGACAGTTGAAAATCGCCTTTTATGCTAAAATATGTATTTTTTAAATTAAAAATCGACCTGTTCGAGGATTACCTATACCTAAAAAAAAAATTGTTTCGTTTTTACTGAATTTATTCCATACTTTAGGCGCGTACTGTATAAAACATTAAACATTTAAGATCTAATAATAAGTTAAGTAATTCTTTACAAGATGAATTTGGAAGTCATAGGTAACAAAATATCGAGATATTTTGAAAAAGTAGTAAATTAGGTATATCTATACTCTTTACTTTATTATAAACTTATCTTTTAGACAAAATATACAAGTATATCAAATAAATATTGTTATTTAGTTTGCTTACTTTTTGCAGCAAAGAAAATGTAAATTTTAATATAGAATAATTAAACAGATTTTGACCCTTTTGCACTTTGAACTCTGAATTATGTAGTAGGTACGTAAATATAAATATTATATTTATTTTGAGTGCTGTATTTGAAATCCTTGACAAATTGGACGAGGTAATTTTTTATTAATAATAAACTATAAAATGGCAATGGAACTTAGGTATGGTCATTTTTTTATCAAGAAACTAATGATTATATTTATATTTTACACTAAAAGAAATATACCATATATGAGGATCATTACGTTTAGTTAAACTTTAAGTAATTGTGATCAGTGCTTATTAGCTCATTATACTTTCATTTACATGTTTCATTTACAAATGAATGTAGAGATCTTCTGCTGTTTTGAAATATTTTTAGAAATGAATAAGCGTAATCCTATATGATATATATTTGATAACATATAATTTTTCGTCAACGTTTTAATTTGTACTTTACCGCTGCAGCTCTCTTACAATACATTTCAGATTGTTTGTTATTAGTAATTTATTTATTAATATTATTTATTAGTTTATTTTAATGAATATTGCCAACCCCCGAAGTTTATTACACAATTTCTTTGGCATCATGTGTAGCCTTTTCTATTGTCCGCAAATTTAGTGGTGCCCAAAAAAGGTTTGTGTAAAGGTGGATACCTATCTGAAAAAACAGATGGAGTACCTAACGGTGACATTCGTCACATATTTGGTAACTTTCGAATGTTTTTCTGCTTATGTGTTCTTGATAAATTCCATTGCTGTATTAATATTGCCATATCTATTTTTAGGTCAATGAAAAAGGATTCCCAACAGTACAAGGATTGGTTTCCCTATATACAGAGGGAATTTCTCAAAAGGACTATATTTTAGCCACTGTACAAGCTGTCAATACGTGCCTGATCAAATCCCAGAAGAAATATTTAATTACGCCACAGTCCATTGATGGTAAAATATTTTTCCCATATAAAAATCAGATTGCTTTGTCTGGAATCTAAATGCCAAAAGTCACCAACTGAACTAAAAATGTGGCAAAAACTGAAATGTTGTGTTGAAGTAACTTTTTAAGAAATTTTTGTAATAGTACACCCTGTATATTTTTATGTATTTAGATAAATATTGTCAATAGGAATAGATTATTCTTATATCTGTTTAATTTAGACATATTTATACAATGACATGTATTTTTAAAGAAATTATCTAGGTTTTATTACGCTCAATCATTACATTTATTATTACATTTTTTTTTAATTCATTCCGTAAAAAAATAACTATTGTTATAATTAAATGGACGTTGGCAAGTTAGTAGATTTCAATAACAAAGAGAAAATATATGAATAATAAATTAATAGACTAGAGGTAACAGCTGCCACTTTTTTTCACATAATTGTAGTTCTATGATTTAACTAAGTAAAACTAATTGCATAATTTTTATCAGGCCCGTACTATGAACTTTTGCATAGGTGACCTCGATTTCTCAATTTCTAATTGTCATGGTTGCAGTTGCACAAGTGTAATGACCTGTTCTTTTTTTTTCAGAAAACGGCAAAACTTGCGACATCGCCTATGACGTTTTCGACTGTGTGTCAGACGAGATTGGTAAATACTGTGGACAGAGGCCATAAGAAGCAAGCTATTATTACTCCTTACCAAATATTTTTAATAATACCTACTTCTCCGATGAAGCTAACAAAGAAATTTGTTTTGACACAACTAAAGAAAGTTGCATTGCAAATATCGCTATTGGAGAAATTGCACACAAATTAGTATTACTAATTCACAATGTACATTTTACTTACGTAATTATAACCGGTAGTCTTCAATAAAGCTTTCAAAAATTTAATACTGTCTGTATAAGAAACGCGTATAAAACGTTCATAAAAGGTTTCATACATATTTTTTCTTGCATGTATATAACTGTCACTTATGTACTTTAATAACTACCTTAAACACTAACACTGATATCAGAAAAGCAATTATTTAGATATGCATGTAGATATTTTCAGTAGCAATAAGCAAATACGAATTTTTAGAAACAGTATATTTATTTAATATATTTTTACTGAACTATGGAAAAAGGAAGATATCATTGGTCACAATTTTCCTTCAATTCTATCAGTATTTTACCGCTTATATATTTTCCTTTATAATTATGTATTTTATTTTAATAATTGATCCTAGTCGATAGTTTTTTAGAATCTTTAATGAAAATATTTTTTGTACTTATTTGTAGACACTTGTATGATATAACAAATAAATAAAAAAAGTTTAATTTTTTATTTTAACGTAAATCCCCTACATAGTGAAATTTATTTCAATTTTGTTTTAACAAATGAAGTAATTGCATGCATTTTTAGTATTTTCTGAAATACATGTGCATATTTTAACGAATAGGTACTAAATAAAGGATCCAAATTATAAAAATATTAAAAAAGATTATTTGGCTTGCCCTACTGAAACTTTGTTGGCCGTATTAAATTATATAGGGTCGTTGATATATACAGAAACAGTCGATTATCTCCTAAAGTAAAATAGCTATGCTATCGAAAAATCATAGGACACAAACGTTTCAGTTTTTTTTAAATGTATTACAACGATAAATATAAAGGATCAGTCAAAAAGTCATGACAAAACAAAGTTTTTTTTTTCTTTAATGAAATACCTTATACTTTAATTCTTCTCGAAATTCTAAACAAAATTTATATAGCACATCACGAACCTAAACTTCCCGTTTTCGAGATATCGAACTTTGTAAGTCATTTTCTTATAAATTGTACAAAAATATTTTTGTGCATTAATCAAATCAAATCAAATCAAATCAAATCAAATCCAATCGAGTCGAGTCGAGTCGAGCCGAGTCGAGCCGAGCCGAGCCGAGCCGAGCCGAGCCGAGCCGAGCCCAGCCGAGCCCAGCCGAGCCCAGCCGAGCCCAGCCGAGCCAAGCCGAGTCAAGCCAAGCCAAGCCAAGCCAAGCCAAGCCAAGTCAAGCCAAGGCAAGGCAAGCCAAGCCAAGCCAAGCCAAGGCAAGGCAAGGCAAGGCACGTCAAGTCAAGTCAAGTCAAGTCAAGTCAAGTCAAGTCAAGTCAAGTCAAGCCAAGTCAAGCCAAGCCAAGCCAAGCCAAGTCAAGTCAAGTCAAGGCAAGTCAAGTCAAGCCAAGGCAAGTCCAGTCAAGTCAAGTCAAGTCAAGCAAGCCAAGTCAAGTCAAGTCAAGTCAAGTCAAATCAAGTCAAGTCAAGTCAAGTCAAGTCAAGTCAAGTCAAGTCAAATCAAGTCAAGGCAAATCAAGTCAAATCAAGTCAAATCAAGTCAAATCAAATCAAATCAAATCAAATCAAATCAAATCAAATCATTTATTGGTGTCTGTACATTAAAATGTTTATACAAGTCAAAGAAAGAAAAACACGAAAGATACAACATATAAGCAATCCGCGATAATTTTTAAGATGCTAATGCATCAAGCGGCGAAAGCAGTAAGCTTCGAGACAAGGTAATTTTGACAATTGACATTGCCGTTCTCGTTTACAGATTCACTTGAACAACATTCGTTTTATTTCCCATTATTATTAAACTGCGGTTATTTGACTTTTGTGATATTTTATAGATTTCAAATATTTCATAAATAAATTTTAATGCAAGTATTTCTATATACTTTGTTTATATCATTACAATTCAATGTACTTTTTTTGAGGTTATAAGTATGAAGTTATCCATTGTGGAATACCACTTAAATACCAAATAACATTTCTTATTTAAGTGCCAACGAAAACTCTCGCATATCAGGAGAGGCAGTTTTTAACGCTGGTCATGTGGTACTATGTAGATTGAGCAAAGTGATTTTTAGAAATTTATTCATTGTGTCTACAAACTAGTGCCTTTACTAACAACGCTCTTGAAATTCAGGGAGTATTGTGAGTAAGTGAAACCGACTGTATTGTTTTAATAATCATCGGATATGGTGGAGTATTTCTAAATCAACCCTTTTAAAAACTTTGCAGCATTTTCATGAAACTGAAGGTGTTAGAGATCGACGAAAAAGTGGAAGACCAGTAAGCGTTACAAACTGTAGGTATTGGTCAAACCAAGATCCACATTGCATGAAGGAAGTTCACACCCAACGACCACAGAAAGTAAATGTTCGGTGTGACATTACTGGGGGACACGTCATAGGACCCTATTTTATAAACGGAAATTTAACCTCTGAACGATATTTATCACTTTCGCAAGAACTTGTTATTCCAGAGCTTAGACGATTATTCCCGAACAATAACAATCCCATTTACGGGCAGAACAAATATGGTTTCAACCTGATGGGGCTCCTTCATATTTTATACGTGTGGTACGGGCATATATAGATAAAACTTTTCCTGATAAACAGATTGGACACAAAGGGGAAATTGAATGGCCAGCTAGGTCTCCAGATATTACCCCGCTTGACTTTTTTCTATGCGGTCATATAAAAAATGTAGTCTACAAATATAGGCCGCAAAATATCGAAGAGTTGCGGGAAAGGATACGCCATGAAAATTCCACTATTCTTCTCATCACCAAACTAGATTCACTACAAAGTTTTGTTTAACGAATTCATTACTGTCAGGAGGTAAATGATGAATACTGTGCACCTTATAAAATAGAATTCCAAAAAAAATATTTGTTGTTTATTAAAACTTGTTTTCTGTCTTTTTTATTCTGGCATAACTAATGTTTTCATAAAATTTAAAATATCCAGGGCATTCATTAAAAGTACACTTTTTTGTTTCATGCATTTTTATTAAGCCTGAACTATTATGCATTTTTATTTTCCGTAAAAAACTAATTATACAAGTAAATCATATCCATATCCTCCATCTTGTGTTATTTTCAAAATAAATACATACAAACACAAATACATAGTTTCTTTTATAAATTTGAGAGTACCTATTAGTAAAAAGTTACTTTCAAAGTTCGATATCTCGAAAACTGTTAATTTAGGTACATGAATAATATACAGGGTGTTCTATTAAAAAAAAGCAACTTTGTTTCGTCATGTCTTTTTGACTGATCCTGTATAGTTTATTTTTATTTATTGTAATAGATTTTAAAAAACCCTAAAATGTTTGTGCCAAATAATTTTTTGATAGTTATCTTACTTTAGGAGATAATCGACCGTTTCCGTATATATCAGGGACCCTGTATATTAAGATATTCCAAATATAGAACGCGTAAAGTACTTATGTAAAAGCAGGAATTTTATTTTTATGAATAATATGATATACCATTCTGTAACTTTTATACAATTTAAATTTGTTATTCAGAATTTACAATACGTACTTAACATTTAGTCACAAGCACATTGATTTGTACTACTGTTAAAGCTTGTTTATAAATAAATGTCACATATTTTGACGATATTTTTTGGAAGGTGTTTGTGTTTATAAATTCAATTCAAAATTTCTTCATTGTCTTAAAAACTTTTATTAAGTAAGAAGTACATAAATACAAAATTAGAGAAAATAATATAGTGGTATGAAGTTCAATAATTCAAAGTTTAGAATTTTGATTTCAAAAATTGATAACATGAAATGTATAATTACTTACTTACCTAAGTGAATATAATATAGACACTTGAGCCATATTCTTGGAACACTTATCATCATTTTTCTTTATTATTTACTGAAATGATAAAACCACCTACTACAGGAACCACTAGGATAGAAACAAAATTATAAACGCTATCCTCATATTTATAAAACAAATCTTTATTAGTCAATGAACTTTGACTTTTGACCGGTTCTTTAGAATTCCTTATCTCAGCGAAATCAAAAATTTTATAATACTGATTATACCTATAATAGATTAAATTTCGTATATGCTATAGTTTAAAGTGTGGTAACGTATTGTCATAGAACAACTCTGATATTACAGACATTTATACATATAAGTATGTTAAGATATCGACATATTTGTTAGAATTCGTCCTTATTTTTAAATTTTAATTTAACAATTCAACAATCTAAAAAAATAGTTCCACATGTGACCGCATTAACAAACAACTAATACTTTGATATTCCAAACGAATCTAACCAATACTTTATTAATTATTATTACTGTTATTCTATTAAATTTGAGGTCTATTTTTGGATGCAAAACTAGCAATAACTTTTAAAATGTTAAAATAAGTAAAATAACCATCGTCATGAGGAATATCTACTAATGAAACTTTGATTAACTAGTCCTAAAATTACTGCAGCACTAAGTTAATTTTCAACAGACATCTGGTTCTTGTTGGTGATATTTTATATAATTTTAGTAATTAGTTACTAGAAGTAACTACTAATAGTAGTAATATTATTTAAGGCCATTTTAACATTATTGCGAAAAGTAAATAAGCTAAATCTACATTGTTCAAAGTCTATCAATACTTTAACAGTCGGTCAATATTTACCATCTCATCAATACTAACGGTATCGGCAACCCAAAATACTAACAGAACTCTCGTAGTAAGGTACGCTTGATACACCAGGAAAATTAGCGAAAATAAAAGAGGAACTCGAAAAAATTCCTATCCGCGATATTATTGTAAAATTGTCTAAAGAAACATAATACACCTCTCATCTCGTGAGTCAAAAAATTTTATTAGCTAACTTCTCTATTTAAACAAATAAGTGAGGAAAACTGTTTTTTCACTTTGCAGGGAAAAATCATCAATTTTAGCGAAACGTGACTCACAGACAGCTTGTAGGGAGTAAAATTATCTACAAAATGAGACATGTTAAATTAAAATCGGTTAATAAACAAAAAAGTTATTGCAAAAAAACAAGAAAAGTGCCCATTTTTTAATTTGTTTATAACTATCGCATTTATTG